TATCTATCTATCTATCTATCTATCTATCTATCTATCTATCTATCTATTTTGGTGTAGCCACTGTTTAATTGCCTGTATATCTGTCAGCAACCCCTCAACTGTGTCCCTAGGAGGAACCCTATTTGAACTGTTTGGGTCACCAAAGAATAAATTCATTAAAAAGTCCTGAAAGTAGAAGGAATGCTAGTTGGGAAGAGAAGTAAGAACGGTGGGAGGGGGACAAGAGAGGGCCAAGGTGTTAATATGATCAAGATACATTGTATACATGTATTAATTCACCACAATAAAGCCCATTCTTATCTATTATTAATATATATTAGGCTTTCACGGATGAGGAAAATGCATTTGCTGAGGGAGCTAAGAGAATAAAAGCATTACGTTGCTGAAGAAAAAAAAGAAATAAATAGCAAAAACAGTGTTTTTTTTTTAAAAAAAATTACAATTTACCCTTAAAGATATAAGGTAACTTGGAAAGTGTGTGTTGAGCCTCTCTGGTGGGAAAGCGGCAGGTGAGCCTGGGGTGTGGCAGGTAAGAGTGACTTCAGGTGACATCTGTTGAAACACAAAGTGAAATGCACGAAGAGCTGGACTTTGTTCTACTGTCATGAAATGCCCTGGTAGGACCTCAGATGGAATAATAATGTGCACTGTTGGTGTAGGAGGTGGGAACAAGTGGAGTGAAGGGAGGGAGAGTCAGCACAGCGAGAAGGGGGCAGCTGTAGTCCCAGGAGTAAATAAAGGTTTGCATTGAGTGAGTGGCATAAGGTAATGAAAATAAGAAATATTTCAGGCTGAGGAGGTGGCTCAGCATTTAGGAGCACGGGCTGCTATTCCTGAGGACCCAGGTCTGATTCACAGCACCTGCAACTGTTCATAATTCCAGCTTCAGGACAGCCCATTCCCTCACACGGAAATGGATGCAGGCAAAGTCAGGTACATAAAATTAAATTAAATTTTTGAAAATAAATATTTCATAATGCACAGAACTGGACATTGATTGGAGATAGAGAATTTGTAGAGAAGAGATAGAATTCAAGCTTTGATTGTACCAGGAAGAATTCTAGATGTAAAGGAACTGTGAGTTAAAGTTTAGATATTAATTATTAGGGACAATTTATAAATAAATATGTCCTGAAATACCTGTAAAGCCATGCAATTAGGTCATAAGCTGGAATGCGGCCAAGGAAATAGTTCGTAAACCAAAAGACACTTTGCCAATGCTCTTTTGTCAAATTTTGGATGCTCTCGCTATGAATTCTGGCAATAAGTGTTCATATTTACAGTGTGTGCTTAGATATACAAGCACATAGTTAATTGTGGATTTATTGGGACAGTTTATATACATTGTGTTTAAGTAGTTTTCAATATGGCATATAATTTAAACATAGTAATATGTTTATATTACTATACACTTTGCCTACTTGATGGCATCATTTGCTACTCCTAATTAGAATTCATAACAAGGAAAGAATTTTTTCTCTTCCTCAGAGAGATTCCAGAATCATCTCGTGTGATTGTTCCTTGTGTTAGACTACCATTTTATTAGCTTTGGAATTAAAAAATGGTGACGTTACTCTCTGACACTGCTCTGAGTTTTTCAGCTGTTACAGTCTGATGATGTTCTGGTGACTAGATTGACAATGAAGAAAGATTAACATTAAGGTGGTATCTTTTAACTCCCAAAACATTCTGGATATTTTTTTTTAGCAAAAATATTTACATTTTTAAATGTCAGATGCAGAGCTGTTTGAAATCATCTCAGCATTACAAATATGGCTGATCAGTAATCAATCAGGTCAATAAAACTGAGTGAGTTTGTTTCCTTGCTGTTTATTTTAACTAAATCCCTAATAAGCCTCATCTGCTAATTGGACTTAGCATTTCTGTTGATAAATGAGAAGTGTTTGGCTGCTACAGGGGGTAGCAAGATCTACCTGGGGGATAAACAGCTTCATCTGTTACCCTGTCCTGCTCCAGCTTGGCTCTTGCTAAGTACAGCCACCCTGGAATCAGAATCATTAAATCCCTCCCTTCCTCCCTCCCTTCCTCCCTCCCTTCCTCCCTTCTTCCCTACCCTTTCTCCCTCCCTCCTCTCTCTTTCCCTCCTTCCCACCCATTCTCTCTCTCTCCTTTTCTCTTCCTCGTCTCTCTCTCTCTCTCTCTTTCTCACGCTCTCTCTCTCTCTGTGTCTCACCCATGTATATGTGAATGCAAAGCAATGCTCCTCATGAGAAAAGAACAACCAACTGCTAGTGCTGAGTACTGAGTCTTTGGTTTTTTGTTTGTTTTAGTTTAGAATTTTGTAATGTTTTTATAACCATTTTATAATTAATGTAATTATTTCTTTGGCATTTCCTACCTGTGAAATTTATACTGACAAGCATTACAATTATTAGATGAACTCTAATTATTTTCATGATTTTTTTTTGAAGAGGCTAAGTCTTGATTTGGCTGGACTTCGAAAAGAAAAAGAAGATTTGTTAAAGAAATTGGAGTCTTCATCTGACATCATGAATATGGGAGAAGAAGTTTCTAGAGTAATGGCCCCACAGTTACAAGTTACCACACTGGGTCCTTCAAGGAGCATAGATTTGGAAATGAAGCAATTGCAGTGTAAACTAAAGGTGAATACACAGTATGTTACGTACAAAATTATCTAATAAATCACTGCATCCTTATAGACATATAATTGATTCTAATTTAGTTCAATAAAGGTCACCAAAATAAAATATTCCAAAATTATGAATACCCTATCTGGCTTAGTCATTCAAATGTTACAGCTCTCTTCTTTTACCCTTGTTTCTATTTGACTTTCTTCTTTCATAGACTAATAAGCACCATGAAATCCTACCTTAGGAGCTAATGGAAAGTAGCCTCTACCCTCTTTTCTAACATCCAACTCCTGGTGCTTTCTGTACCTTGCTTCACAGGAACAGAATCCTTTCAAACATACTGTATAACTCAGTAAGAGTTCTTTTTCTCTACACACTTGCTACTGGTTTACCTTAGTTGTTGGTTGGAGATCAGGATGCAAAGAAGAAAGGTGTGGAAATGGGGAGAAAGAAAAAACAATGATGGATTATTTTGATTGTCTGCAGCAACTTAAACCTGGGAGTGAGACTACTAGAATTTTGTTGTTGTTGTTGTTGTTAATAAAAAATTGTATTTAACTCCAGATGACTTGTCAATAACTTAAAAGTGAGGCTCATCTTAGTTGAAATAGAATTGTGAGAAACAAGATCCACGTGTTTTAAACAGTAAGTTTATTTTTCTGTCTTAAAACAAACATTATTTTTCACATACTTATCTTCTTCAATGAGGACTGCAGGCTGGAAGCTGACAGCAGTGGATACATAACCGTTGCTGCGATGGCATCGCTAGAAGTGGAAAGTCTAACTGCGGATGCACTGAGTACTTTACAATTTGGATAGCTGACTGGAACCAAGGCAGTAGGGTAGCAAATTATCAAGTCGATGCATAGCTGTTCTCAGTCCAGAGTATGATGTTTTGAGTAGAGTTCCAAATAGAATATAATAGGGTAAAATGTAAGGCAACCATTGCTTCAATTACCTCATTTGTAATAGTCAGAAAACTGGCATTAATTGAGCTGGTTTTTAGGTAGAACCTTGAGGCAGTTTTTACATGCAGAGCATACATACTAGAGATGTAAAGAAAAATTGTACACATTTTGGAGCATGTGCATTCTCTTGAAATACGTTTTTGTCCCAGGAAGTATAAATACCATTTATGAATTTTGTATTTCAGTGTTTATATTTTATGTACCTGAGGATGAGGCAATTGTGCTTATCTTTAATCTGATGCTGAATAGATACTGAGTTACAGTTCTTTGATATAGTTTAAGTATTCATGATCCTAATTTAACATTTCACCAAGATCAAATAGAATGGTAGAGTCAGTATCATCTAACTTCTAAATATTTGTAGTTGTAATAGCTTTAAGTTGTTATATTTGATTAATTTTATTTTGCTTACTCTAAATGTTCCAACTATTAAAATTTTGAAATGTGGACTAACATAATGTGTCTGTGTAAATATCCCACGAGGTAAGATATTTATATTATAATGTTTACTTGTGTATAAATATCTGTCTAGTTTCAGAGGGAAAGTGAGACAGACAGATGAGGTATTAGGAGGCGTCAAGCAGTTGGGTTGTCCATGTAGATGGTGGAATCTTTGGACATTGAGCTGACCTTGCAGAGAACAAAAGGATAATGTTTGCTTTCATTGTGTTTCATATTTTAGTACCGAAAATTTTCTGGAAGAATTTAAGTACATAATACTCTGTGCTAATCAAAATTTGTTTCAATATTATTTCAAATTGGTTTGCTAAGACTGCTATAAGAAAATCCCACTGACTGGCTGGCTTAAAACATTTGTTTTCAGCTGGACTTCATGGTGCATGACTTTAATCCCAGCATTCTGGAGGTAGAGGCAGGTGGATCTCTGTGAATTTGAAGCCAGCCTGGTATACATAGTGAGTCCTAGTCAGAGCTACATAATGACACACCCTGTTTCAAAACAAACAAACAAACAGCAAAAACAACAACAAACATTAGTTTTCTTAAAGGTGCACAGGCTGGAAAGGCAAGATCAAAGTGTTAAGTTTTTTTCTACCCTCTTCCAAGGCTTTTCTTTTTATCATGTAGAGAGCAGCCTTCTTCCTTTATTTCCATGTAGTCCTTCAAAGATCCTTGTGTCTTATTTTACAGACACCCATTACTTTATATTAGGGCCTACTAGAGACCTCATTTTCCCTGTTACCTTTTTAAAGAAATATCTTCAAACACAGCACATTCTGAAGTATGAAGTCTACATGAGGTCTATGGCATGTAATTTTAGGAAGACACAGTTTAACTCATCAGATATAAGACTGCTAACGGTGATTAACTGGGAAGTAAGTCATTTCTAGTTGATATTTAGGCACGTTGTTTAGATGCTTATCTAGTAAAGGTCTACAAACATCTTTTACCTCTTACTGGTCTTTTCTGTGAATTTCTTATGTACTTTTCAGGAACTGGTTCATTCAGTCTTTGCAGAGCTTGTTTATATTTTCTGTCTTCTTTTGTCCCATTAAACATGTTTCCTCAAGGTAATCTACAGAGGTCAATATTAATAGCTAAAATAACTGAAGTTCTAGTAAATGATTCTACATTAACCACAAGGTACGGATTCAGCACTTTTAGCTATGTAAACTATAGCTGTAAGTCTCAAAACAGATGGAGTCAGACAACTATCTTAAAATCTACTGAACACATTCCTTTGAAAACAATATGAGACTTTGCATGCCGCCTTTTGCTTTTCATTTTAAACAGTACTAAGTTCATTTGTTTTAATTCTCAACATAAAATGCTTCAAGAGCACCAAGTTTGCAGTGTGTGTATTAAAGGACAGGATTATGTTTTAGGCATCAATATTAAGATCAGCAATAAATTAAAAGGTTGGCAGACACTAAAACTGTGTTCTGTTCTGTTCGTATTTGTTTGAAACTTTCTGAACTTAAATGATGCATTAATATCTTATGAATAATATCTTATGAATGGGAAAGCTAAAATGCCAAAGTGATTAAGTGATGCTTCACATTATATCTTTAACTGGAACTTGAATCAAGATGCAAGTTAGCTGTCTTGATGCTGTGGTTTTGTGATTCCTAGGTGGGATGAACAACCTCAAAGAACAGGTGCTTTGACAATACAATAATTATGTGCAAATCCTTAAGTAATAATAACTACTTTTAGTAAGTTCAAGCAAAGACGAATTTAGTATTAATAAGATTTTGTTGTCAGCTAATAGTCTCAAACATATGATCATCAAATAGCATTGACCAACTGTCTATTATTTCTTCTTGCTGCTCACTTCTGGGTTCCTTTTTATGTCTGCATCCTTGAGATTTGTCTGCCAGGCTGGTAGATGCAGCACCTGAGTCTGGCAGGTGCTAGGCTGGCTCTCACTGCAGCACCTTGGTTCCATTCACATGGCCTTGAAACTGTCTTCCAGCAGGGTGATCCTAGGGCAGCAATCCAAGAGGGCAAAGGCCTAGGCCCAGAGCTTTGAGGGCCCAGATTTAAGTTCACACAGTGTCATTTCAGCGATGTTCCTTTGGTGAAAGCAGATCACAGATGAGACCAGTTTCAGAGAATTGGTAAATGGCTGTTACGCTTTCTAGGGGGAGCAGCAAGTTATCTGTGGTCGTATTTAATCTATTACAGCTTATGAGTAAATCTGTCGTTAATTTTAAGTGCTCTAACTCAGCCATTAAGATTGCACATTTACATTTTACTCAGACAGTTCATATTTCCCATTAAGATATTTGAGTCCTGTATTGTTGTCCATATTCCTCAATAGTATGGAAATCTATATAATAATTTTACTATAAATGTGTCATCTAATTTGTAAAATATAAAATATTAAAATTATATTTTAGTCATTATTACATAATTAAAATAAATGTTAATTTTTCTCAAAGCAATGTCTTTGTTTTATATCTAGAAAGATAAATTGAAATATGTTTACTTTAATCCAGAATGCAACTAATGAACTCACTAAACAATCATCAAATGTGAAGTCTCTGAAACTGGAACTCCTAGCAAAAGAAGACCACATAAAGGAGATGCATGAAAAGTAGGATTTCATATTTCTATCTGTTGTATTTGGTGCCACCTAGTGGTCGTCAGTTCTCCTCGCCATTCCACTCAAAAAACAAAACAAAACAAAACAAAAAACAGTGTTTATCTCTAACAATGGAATTTTACTTTTTTAAGATCATGTTTAAGCCAACATAAGATGGAATTTATGTAACTGATGACAATCAGGTTGCTGTTTTTAATTAGAGTAAAATATTTAAAACTAGATTTCCCTATTTAGCATAATTTGAATAAATACAAATTAATGACATTAAGACTAAACAAAAGCCTACAATTCTAAGGCTAAGAGAATATATTGATTAGCACACGAATAGGGTTAATTCCTAAGTTTATAAAGCCAAGGTAAAAATATAAAACTTCTGTTTGCTCATAAAATTGCTAAAGGTTCTTTTGTATATATTATTTTTTAAAAAGTTTAAATACCCTATCACTTTTGAGCAAATGTGGTTCTCTTTCCATTTTATAACGTTCTTAAAGCTCTTATGTAATGATATGCTTAAATAGCACATCATTGATAACCTTCTTTTATGCCCCCCTGTATGCACTATTCTGAGTGAAGCCGACCTAACATTTAAAGAATAAGATTTGGACAGAGGATTGCTAGCTGAGTGTGGTGGCTTGCACCTGTAACTCCAGCGTAAGGGTGTCTGAAGCAGGAGGATTGCCAGGAAGCCGAGAGCTGCCTGGGCCATGTAGTGAGCTCCACACCAGCCTGGGCTACAGTGTGAAACCCTTTCTCCAAAACCCCCCAAAGAAAAATAATTCTTATTTTCACCCAAAAATGCCTGAAAATATATAAATTAAGGGCAGTGTTGCTTAGTGATTAATGTTGAGGAGTCTAGGAAAACTCTTGGCTCCTGCCTCCTCTATCTAATTGCTCTGTACTTCAGTCTAACAGTCTTAGTTTATGAAGCTCTTCTGAGGAATAAGTAAACCAGTACATAAAGAATTTGAAATAGCTGTGTATATCAAGGGTCTGGTGTATAAGCCGTGGTTACATTTATCGTAGTGTAGCCATAGTTACAACATCAGGAGTAGATGCCACTGAAGAGACCATTTTATAATATTCACTATCTTAAGCTAAACTGATGGGTGAATTCAATCTCAGCTGGTTGAATTAAAATTAATGTGCCTAATTTTAGTTTTAGTTAATTTAGTTAATTTTAGTTTTAATTAATTTTAATTTCTTTGCATCTCAACTCATTGAATTAAAGTTAGTGTTACTAATTTTAGTTTTTTGCATATTATAAGATTTTTACCTTTTTAACCAAATCGCAGTATTGTTTCTTCTTAACAATGTTAGGATTTTGATTGTCACTAAATATCACTTCAATATACCTAAGCTGTGCAAAATATAACTTAAATATAATCTAAGTTTTCATAATTCTATACATTATAATGATCTTTTTAGTTAATATTTTTTTTGCTGTGATGCAAATATGTAATAATAACAAAGTCACAACGAGATTATAGATCTTACTGAAGCATATGGCACTTAGATGCTATTTCAGTGCAATATATTTTACTAACATGATGGCATTGATGTCAGCTTTTCAAAACTAACAGTGGGCATGAGCATGGATACAGTATATCAAGATATTTTCTGCTCCTTTTAAAATCTTCTCCCCTGAAGGATGTCTCGAATGGAGAGAGATGTAACCATGAAAAGACACCTGATCGAGGACTTGAAATATCGACAGAAAGTAAATTCAGAAAGTAATGAGAATTTTAATGAATTGTTAGAAAGTCTTGAAAACAAGGTACCTTTTTTGTGTTCACTGATAAATTAAATTCTGTTCTATTCATTTTTTTTTTAGTATCTGTTTTGTTCCAAGTGCTAACACAACAGTACTTGCTTTTTTTTATTTTTTTAACTTTTTAAAATTTTTTTATTAATTACACTTTATTCATTTTGTATCCCCCATAAGCCCCTCCCTCCTCCCCTGCCGATCCCAACCTCCCTCCCATTTCTGCATGCATGACCCTCCCCAAGTCCACTGATAGGGGAGGTTCTCCTCTCCTTTCTGGTCTTAGTCTATCAGATCACATCAGGAATGGCTGCATTGTCTTCTTCTGTGGCCTGGTAAGGCTGCTCCCCCTTCAGGGGGAAGTGATCAATGAGCAGGCCAATCAGATTATGTCAGAGGCAGTCCCTCTTCCCATTACTATGTAACCCACTTGGACACCGAACTGCCATGGGCTACATCTGTGCAGGGGTTCTACGTTATCTCCATGGATAGTCCTTGGTTGGAGTATGAGTCTCTGGGAAGTTCCCTGTGTCTATTCATTTTTATCATTAATCTTCAGTATTAAGCATCTATGCAAAATACTTGCACGGTATGTATTGATAGTTATAACCTTATGCCATTTTTTTTTTTGTTTCTGAGCTCAAGACTCCAAAATTCTACATGTAACATACCCAGAACCTCTGCCTGGCTATGTGGTGTCATGAAGGAAATGTTTAATTTTTAAAGTATCTAGTGCTTCTGGTGTACACATGATGTCCTTATTTATGATTTAATATTATTTAAGCCTATAGTTTATAAGGGCAGTACCAATGTTATTTAAATTTTTTAAATGATTTAACTTTAAAAATTCATATTGGTGTTTTTCCTGTATGTAAGTTTGCACCACATATATGACTGGTGGCCGTGGAGGTCAGAAGAGGGCTTCAGATCTCCTGCAATTGAAGTTTATAGAAGCCTTTGAGCTGCCATATGGACATGGGAATTGAACCTGTGCCCTCTGCAAGAGCCACAAGTGCTTTTAACCACAGAGCCTTCTTCTTCAGCCCCTTTCCTTTTACTTTCACTTCAATCTATTCAGATATAACTCAGAATTGCTTGGTTAAGTAATTATTTTAGTGGCATTAAGCTTAAAATGGAAAAAAGCTTCTTCCATTATTCTTTGAGCTATATGAAGAATGTTATTATTATTCTATTATATATAACATTTTGTGACATTTTAATTTAGTTATTGACTTAATTTCTAGCTTCTTCGTAGTATGAATACTATAAGTAAACTATTTGAATTTGATAAGGTTGATGAGACAGTGAATGCAATTAGACTAGTTTCTGATGAAACAATATAGCATACTACTTTAATGTGTTTACTATAGTAATTACCTTTATGCTTTTATTGCAGGTGAAAGCTTTAACTGAAGAATGTTCCAACAAGAAGGTATCGATTGATTCACTAAAGCAAAGACTTAATGTTGCGGTGAAAGAAAAGTCACAGTATGAACAGATGTATCAGAAAACTAAAGAGGAGTTAGAAAAAAAGGTATGCTTCTGAACATCCAAATCTAGATTTGAATACAAGGATGCCATTCTAATTTCTAGTGCTGCCGTCTTTTACTTTCTAAATGAAAAGGAACTCTGTAATGACTCCACACTAACAGTAAAGAATACTGTATCATTATCACTAAGACTATTTTACATTAATGATTGTATTATATTAGCAAAATAAAGAAAAGCAAGGATTAACTATACCCAAATAAAAGTACTTCACCTATATACAATAATGAAATACTTTCCTTGTCTAATTTTCATAACTCACTTTCCCAATAGGTTTATGAAATACTTTTTTCTTTTGTGAATATCAACCCTTTTGCAGGATCTCAAACTGAATTTCCTGATATCAAAAATAAATGACACAGAAGCAGCTTTGGCGAAGATTGAGGCAGCAGCATCTGAGCAGCTCCAAGGCTTAGCCCTGCAGAGTGAACAGGTCCTGGAAGGTGCACAGAAGAAACTGCTGTTAGCCAATGAAAAAATAGAGGAGTTCACCATCTTTGTGAAGGTCTGAGTCATTGATGGCTTACTCACTTGCACTTTACTTCAGGCAGAAGCGTTGTCCTTCTTCTGAGGATTTGAGAAAACAAATCCCTTGCTTAGGTTGTTGCTGATGTTATTGTTTAGAGGTGGTCTCACTGTGCATAGCTCAGCTGGCCTCAGACTGTTGGTTTTCCTGCCTCTAGTCCTCAAAAGGATTGTAGGTATGTTCCGGGCTTTCTTCTTCCTTTGCTAATCCACCAAAACCTTTCCTTCTACCCTGGGGGGGCACAGCGTTCAAAATTTCTCTGTAACAGATTTTATGGCTTGAGTTTTAAATTATCCACTGTACTGTTAACATTTCTTTCTTAACATTAGTTTAGTAATGAAATGGTAGTAGTACAGTAATCAAGATAGATTCGAAAGGAATTAAGTCATTTCTATTCTGTTTTAAAACTCAACCAAGCAAGGACAAAGATACTCCTGTGTTCAGTTAAGCTAAGGTACCTGAATTCAGTATAGCCAGAGAAGTAGCAAATGACTAAGGATAACATAAAGGCAGCTGAATTGCTTGCATGTAAGTGATGGCTCAGTTGCATTATTTAGATGCAACCCCAGAAAGATTTGGGAATTGGCTACGAACAGAACCTGCTAAGCTGTGATTGCTGGAGGAGGGGACTAAACAATTGGCACTCTTCCCCCCTTATCTGCAGCTGTGGAGGAGAGGCTCTGGGTTCAGAAGCAGCAGCCAGTGAGGACAGAGACCTTGTGATGGTTCTGCTCCATTTTATCCCCCACAAAGTGTTCATAATGCCATTCAGTGCCTTTTATTCTTTGTCATGTAGTTATTAAACAAAACTCTTGCTGTTACTAGACCATAGTAATTTCCTTAATAGTGGGAACAATATTTTATTAATCTTTCTATCCACAGCATGTACCATAGCGCCTTGGAAAGAATAGGCATGCAATAATGATCACTAATTAAATTAAATTTGCATTGGAAATGTGAAACCTTAATGGTAGTCCTCTTGACCTTCAATGTTGAATCTAAAACAGTTTTCAGTAGGAAAGAAAGCGTGTTCTTTTCCCTACTGTCCCCAACCACATTTCCCTCTGCACTTGGTGAGCATGGTCCTCTTCCTGCACATGGCATGCAAGCTGGCATTTGAGAATGTAGAAACAGGGTTGAGGGAAGATAAGGCAGTAGATGTGCGTTTTCCACTTACAAAATACTTATAAAATGAAAATTTAAATGCCATCCTTTAAAGTTATTATCACCATTCACTGCTTTCTTTTCTATGACTGGCCATAATATGAAACACCAGCTTACACGTCCTAAGTGGGCTGGAGAGATGCGACAGCGGTTAAGAGCATCTGCTGCCTTTGCAGCAGATTCAAGTTCTGTTCCCAGCAACCCCACCTGTAACTGCAGCTCCAGGGGATCTGACACCTTCTGGCTTCTGCAGCCAATTGCACATACATGATACACACACAGACAAATGCACACACATGAATAGAAATAAGTCTAAAATGTGTTAAACTTTAAAATATATTATTGTGCATGTATATCATCTTAATGGTCTCAAATCAACTGAAGCATGCTTTTTCTCTCTAGACAGGTCAGGAGTTTGTCCATGTTTGAAACCTTCAGTAAATAAGGCACTCTGCTGTGTGTTTCTGGAACGTCTTTTGGGTTAGATCTTATTTACAAACAGCAAATTCCTGGCCTTGTAGTTTAAATACATGCTGGCAAATAACTGGGTTTTAGCTATGATGTTATATTGTTCACTTCCCACAAAATAGGAGCCCAAAGCATTTTCAGCAATGCTCCAAGGAAATGCCTGCCTTTGTTTCATTAAAAATCATGGGTCCCTAGGAAGTTTCTCATTTAAAAGTACCTACAAAAATGAATGAAAGAAACATTTGACCTCTTTTACTAAAGTTTCAAATTGTATAAAGTAAAGCCAATAATGCCTGCCTTAGAAGATCATGAATGGTTAAAATGATTAATTTCAGTGCATATAATTTGCAATTCCTGACTTAAAATTCCATTTCCTTTCTGCTTACTGAAGCCTCACCATTTACTTTATAATGAATAATCTCTGAATATTGTTGCTGCTTGACCTATGTAGGAACATTTTTATTGTGACTTTGTTTTCTTCTTTTCTTTTCAGATTTGAGTTTCATTTGTTGTACTTTTAGACAGGATTTAAAATATGAAATGTGCACTTCTGAGAGTTATTATTATCAATCATTATTTTTAGGAAATATATTTTGAATATTGTCTTTTCAAAGAAAAAATGGTAAATGAAACCCAGGAAAGTTTACAATAAGAAACCTAATTTTATGACTAGGTAATTTGATTTTAATGCACTTGGTATAGTTTTGTGACCATATTAAAATAATTTGTATGCTTCTCCACACAGAATAGGTTAGTAAAAATTAACCTAAAAGGCATAGTTTTTACTTATGTATATGAGTCTCTGAAGCTTGAGTTATTCAATGGTGACATATTGATCCTTGAAGATAACATACTGATCTTTTATACCAACCAAGAATTGTATAAAGTATAAATAATTAAAAATGAATTTGAGATTGTTACAGTTTCATGGATTTTCAATTTGAATAACATTTTAAAGGGTATAATATAAGCTAGGCATATTGGCATATGCCTTTAATCCTAGCACTCAGGAAGTACGGGAAGGAGGAGCTTTGTGAGTAGGAGATCAGTTTGGTATACATGGGGGATTCCAGGCCAGCTTAGGCTACATAATAAGAACTTGTCTCAAAAGAATGTGTAATATAGCTACAGGTTTAGTATTATTTCAGAATTTTTATACTTTGTTTAAAACTCACAACAATCTGTAAATCTAGTTGCAAGGGATCTGAAACCATCTTCTGGTCTCTAAGAGCACCAGGCACACCTGTGGTACACAAGACACACATGCAGGAAGTTATAGAAATGTCACCTTGTTTTTAACAATTGAACATATATGACAGAAACATAATCATATGACATTTAAAACATAAAAATTTCCAATGGAGATTTGACATTTGTTGTGATTTTATTTTATGCTGATGTGTGCTTAATACTAACATCATATCTCCTTTTAAGTTTTCTTAATCAAAGACTACAAGCAGCCAAAGGCAGAAATACTGGTCAGGACTGGGAAGTTGGGTCTTAAGGGGATCAGCCTCTTCTCTTCTTTACACAGGTTACCTAGGACTGGGCAGAGGTGCTCGGGGGCAGCAGCTCAGGCAACATCCATCTGCAGCTTCCAGGGCCCTGCTGTGTTATTTGTGTTACATCTAAATTTCTATCTTTTTAACAGTTTTAGACCTTTTGTAACTGAATGTTATCCTACTTTTGGAATCTGCTCTTCCTCACTATTCTTTAACTCTCATTCATATTGAGCTGGCCTCTATCTTTTCTCAAGGTCTGCTTCCCACCAAAAGGTACTCCTGTCTTTGTACTCACTTCCAGGGTTAGCTTAGGGCCTTTTATATGGATCTTTACTATACCTTGTAGCCAAGGAGACAGAATTAAACTCTGCGCCACTACCTCTGCGACCTCAGGCGACTGAATGAATCCTCTGTAGCTCAGTTTCCCTCTGCATAAGATGATTATAATAATAGAGCTTATCTATGGTTAGGGTTTGAGTAAATTATCATAGCTAAAGATTAGAATGGTGCCTACAGAACTGCTCTGTAAGTATCACTATTATTATTGGTAACAGTGCTAAGTAAAAGGATAGTTATCTCGTGATCAGTGAGTGTGTGTACAATTCAAGTGTAATTGTAAACTTTTTCACTGTTTCGAATACATTATATAGCCAACTTGGAGCAGGAACATTATCAGTTTTTGTTGTTGTTATAAAACTGTCATCCAGTAAGGCTCATTATATTCTTGAGGAACTGATAAGACAGACAGACACATACATGCACATATACACAGTGTACATGGTACTATGATTGTAGCTACTTTTCAGATTAAAACTGTAAAGGCAAAAGCTATTCATAACTATACATAGTTCTCACATGGATCATAATAATCACAGTGCATTCTGCAAAGAACTTGTTAGATATCATGTATCCTAAACTACTTAATAAATATTATCGGCAGTTTTCATAGTACTAATGTCTGTTCTGGTCCTGTTGTGGAAAATATGTCCCCTTTAGTCTTTTCATTTATCTGTAGGGCCCAACGAGATTATGGGAAAGGTGGAGTGGCCATCTGCTCTAGATCTAGTCTTGAATATGGAATCTGGCCCCGGGGTGAAATCAAGTGCTTTGAGCATCTGGGCTGGATATATGTGGCAGAGCTGAGGCCTTGAATTCTCCTAATAACTGGATAAAACATACTAGGGAATTTTCCAGACGTATTTGCTCAGTTTGCGTCAGCCCTTATATATAGGCTTGTTAATATGTTTGTATGTAAGAGTCATATGCCAACCACCATTTTCCCAATTTTTTGTTGTTATTGTTAACCAAAAAATATGTGCCATCTAAACAATACTATTTATTTGAAACACATGCATGCTTTCATTATCAATATGTATTTTTATTTGGTAAGATTTAGTTATATATTTGGGGATTATATATGTCTTTCTTCTTTACTGTAGGCATTTGTTGAACAACCCAATTTTATTCTTACATTTGCAATGAATTAATATTTAGGTACTGATCTATTCTCTTAATTATGAGCTTTAAACACTTCTGTATTATAAATGAACTTGAATTCACACTTAATCAGAACTCTTAGGAGGAAAAGTTCCTTATAAGAACATACTAACTTAACTGGCGAACTTTAAACTACATAAATTGCACCTTAGGAAAGGTGTTTAGATGCCGTTGAGGTATAGGTACACTTCTGAATTTCCCCTCAACTCAGCAGCACCTTGGAACTCTTCTTGAGAAAAGGGCTGTTACATGACCCAGTCTCTCTACCTTGGACTTCCAGAACTAGGAGTTCAATCCTTTTCATAATTTCTCAAAAAGCTGTTAAAATGCATTATTTCTCCAGGAAAC